ATTTGTTGGCATATAGTTGGGCAAAATCATTCCTTAATTATTGTTTTAATTTCTTCTCCTTGGTGGTAGCTTCACCCTTTTCATTCTTGATACTAGTAATTTGGTTTCTTCTTTCTTTTTTTAATTAAATTAACCAAAGGTTTATCTATTTTATTGTTTTTTCATAAAACCAGCTCTTAGTTTTATTTATTAGTTCAATAGTTTTCTTAATTTCAATTTTATTAATTTTTCCTTTGGTTTTCAATATTTCTAATTTGGTGTTTATTGAGGATTTTTAATTTGTTCTTTTTCTAGTTTTTTAGTTGTATGCCCAATTCATTAATCTCCTCTTTTTCTATTTTATTTATGTAAGCATTTAGAGATATAAAACTTCCCCTAAGAACTGCTTTGCTATCCCATAGTTTTGGTATGTTGTCTCATTATTGTCATTCTCTTGAATGAAATTATTGATTGTTTCTATGATTTGTTGTTTGACCCAATCATTTTTTAGGATTAGATTATTTAGTTTCCAATTATTTTTTAGTCTATCTTTCCATGGCCCTTTATTACATATAATTTTTATTGCATCATGATCTGAAAAGGATGCATTTAATATTTCTGCCTTTCTGCATTGGATTGTGAGGTTTTTATGCTCTAGTACATGGTCAATTTTTGTGTATGTGCCATGTACCGAAAAAAGTATATTCCTTTCTATCCCATTCAGTTTTCTCCAGAGGTCTATCATACCTAACTTTTCTAATGTTCTATTCACCTCCTTAATGTCTTTCTTGTTTATTTTGTGGTTAGATTTATCTAGTGAAGAGAGGGGAAGGTTCAGGTCCCCCACTAGTATAGTTTTGCTGTCTATTTCTTCCTGTAACTCCCTGAACTTCTCCTCTAAGAATTTGGATGCTATACCATTTGGTGCATATATGTTTAGTAATGATATTACTTCATTGTCTATGGTGCCTTTTAGCAGGATGTAGTTTCCTTCCTTATCTCTTTTGATTAGATCTTTTTGCTTTTGCTTTGTCTGAGATCAGGATTGCTACCCCTGCTTTTTTTACTTCAGCTGAGCATAATATATTCTGCTCCAGCCTTTTACCTTTACCCTGTATGTGTCACTCTTTTTCAAATGTGTTTCCTGTAAACAACATATTGTAGGATTATGGTTTTTAATCCATTCTGCAATCCTTTCCTTTTATGGGAGAGTTCATCCCATTCACATTCACAGTTATGATTACTATCTGTGTCTTTTTCTCCATCCTTTTTCCCCCTATTTATGCTTTTCTTTCTCCCCTTCACTAGTGTTTTGCTTTTGACCACCGCCTCCTTCAGTCCCTCCTCCCTTTATTATCCCTTTCCCTTTTCTTCCCCTTTACTCTTACTGCTTCTTCCCTCCCTTCTTTCCCCTCCCTTTTCTTTCCCCTTTTCCCTCCTACTGCCTATAGGGCAAGTTAGATTTCTATACCTAACTGATTATATTATGCCCTTCTTGAGCCAAATCTGATGAGAGTAAGGTTCAAACAATGCTCCCCCTCCCTTCTTTCCCTCTGCTGTAATAGGATTTTGTGTCTTTTCCTGTAATGTAATTTACCCTTGTCTGCCTCCTCCTTTCTCAGTACATTTTCTAAGATCAGATTGATCCACTTATTTGGATCCATTTAACCCACTTGATTAGATTTTTTTTATCATTACATCAAAGTCAACTAATATCCACCCTCTTTATGTATACTCCTTTAACATGGTGTAATAACAATACAGTTCTCAAGTTGCAAGTGTCTTCCCTTGTAGGGTTAAACAGCCCTTATTAACAACATATTGTATCTTTCTGTCCCATTTACCTTTTTATGTCCTTCTTGAGTCCTGTACTTAAAGATCAAATTTTTTGTTGAGTTCTGATCTTTTTATCAGGAAAGTTTGGAAGTCTCCCATTTCGTTGAATATACATCTCCTCTCTTGAAAAATGATGCTCATTTTTGCTGCAATCCAAGCTCCTTTGCCTTACGGAATATCATTTCCATGCCCTTGGTCTTTAATGTAGAAGCTGCAAGGTCCTGTGTAATCCTGACTGTGGTTCCATGATATTTAAATTCTTTTTTCTGGCTGCTTGCAGCACCTTCTCTTCATCTGGTAATTTGGAATTTAGCTATGTATTTCTTGGATTTCAATTTGGGATCTCTTTCAGGTGGTGATCGTGGATTCTTTCTATGGTTATTTTACCTTCTGGTTCTAGGACTTCAGGGCAGTTTTCCTTTATGATTTCCTGAAAGATACTGTCCAGGCTCTTTTTTTCATCATGATTTTCAGGTAGTCCAATAATTTTTAAATTGTCTCTCCTGAGTCGATTTTCCAGGTCGGTTGTTTTACTGATGAGGTATTTTACATTTTCATCTATTTTTTCATTTTTTTTTTTGTTTCTGTTTGACTGATTCTTGCTCTGTCATGGAGTCATTAGTTTACATTTGTCCAATTCTAGTTTTTAACAGATTGTTTTCTTCTGTTAGTTTTTTTACTTTCTTCTCCAATTGGCCAATTGTATTTTTTTTTGTTTGTTTTTGGCTAGGCAATGGGGTTAAGTGACTTGCCCAGGGTCACACAGCTAGTAAGTGTTATGTGTCTGAGGACAGATTTGAACTCAGGTCCTCCTGAATCCAGGGCCGGTGCTCTATCCACTGCGCCACCTAGCTGCCCCTGGCCAATTGTATTTTTAAGGGATTTGTTTTCTTCAGTGTGCTTTTTTCCAGTTTGCCAATTGTGTTTTTTAAGGACTTGTTTTCTTCAGTGTACTTTTTTTCCAATTGGTCAATTGTATTTTTTAAGGACTCTTCTACCTCTCTCATTTGACTTTTAAAATCCTTCTTGAGATCTTCTAAGAAGGCTTTTTGGGCTTCAGACCAGTTCATATTCCCTTTTGATGTTGCAGATGTGGGTTTGTTGACAATGTTGTCCTCTTCAGAATTTCTGTCTTGATCTTCACTCTTCTCATAATATGAATCTATGGTACGTTTCTTTTTACTTACGGTTTCTTTATTCCCTGGCCTTTAAAGAGATTGAGCTCTCCTGTTGGGGAACAGAGGGCACTGACCCAAGCTTCTTGTGTTGGGAGCCTAGGTCTTGGTCACTGGCTTTGTGTGCTGGGGCCTCTCATGTTGGCAATTGTAGGCTGTAGGGTTCTGGCAGCTTACCTGGTGTTGGGCTGGAATCAGCAAGGCTGGAACTTTAGGGCATCTTTAGATTGCTTTCTTCAGCTGCATTCAGATGAATGCTGCATGATGTTTATCTGCCTGGGGCTCTTTGTATGCTGCTTCCCTTATTTTTGCTGAGGCACTGGGACACCAGTTTGCTGTAGAATGCCGAGGCACCGGGATCTCCTCCTGGTGTGCTAAAGTAAGGCTTTCCACTAGCTGCCTGAGATGTCTCCCTTTTCATACTACTCCCCTTCCCCCAGGGTAGGAGGGGCTTTCCCCTTTAATCCTTCAATCTACCTGGGCTACTGCTCTGCTGCTCCCCATGTTTCTTCTGGTTTAGCTGTTCCAGGGTTTTTTCTGGGGTGATATTTTCTGGGTTTTCGGAGGTTGATAGGGGAGGGTGAGAGCGACTACCTTTTTACTCTGCCATCTTGGCTCCCAGAAGTGGAAGTCTCTGGGATTCCAAGTGTAAGATTTTCTATGTAGCTTTGTTCATGTTCATCTTCTCAGGCCCAACCCATATTTCTCAATCCTGTCATCAATGAGTTAACTCTCTTTCCCAGCTTTGTGTCATCTGCTCATTCTATGGGCAATCAGTTGTTCAGTTGTTTTCAGTCATGTCTGACTCTTCCTGACCTCAGTTGGGGTTTTCTTGGCAAAGATACTGGAGTAGTTTGATGTTTCCTTCTCCAGCTCATTTTACAGATGAGGAAACTGAGGCCACAGGATTAAGGGACTTGCCCAGGGTCACATAGCTAGTAAACATCTGAGGCCACATTTGAGCTCAGGAAGATGAGTTTTCCTGATTCCAAGCCTAACACTCTATCCACTGTAGCACCACCTAGCTGCCCTAGGAGTAATCAATGCCTTTATCCAAGTCATTGATGAAAACTTTAAACAGCAGAGGACCAAGAGCGGATTCCTGGGACACTCCATTTGAGACTTCCTTTCAAGTTGACATCGCTTGTCATTAATAAATGACTACTCTTTGAGTACAGCCATTCATCCAGCTCTAAATGGTGGGGGTCGCATCATGCCATCTTTCTCATATGAAAGACTTTATTAAAGTTTTGAGTAAACTGAATCTCTAGCGTTTTCTTAACCTCTTTGTCTGAAGTCACACACAGCAAGTGACAAAGTCAATATTAGAATCTGAAGATTTGAAACCCAGGACTCTTCTCCATGCCTCAGTTTCCCCAACTTGACTATTACTCTACCATCTAGCCCATTGGTTCTTTGGTGCTTACTATTCATGGTCTATAAGGGAAAAGTTCCCCAGAAAATCCAAGTAATCTGGAATCTGGTTTGGCTTTCAGTGGGATACTCCCCTGGGTCAAAAATATAAGGTGATATTGATTCTGTCCAAAAAAAAGCAAGACTCTGGACTTGGCTTTCATTAGCTTTTTTTTTTTTTTGCAATTGGGGTTAAGTGACTTGCCCAGGGTCACACAGCTAGTAAGTGTCAAGTGTTTGGTCTGAGGCCGGATTTGAACTCAGGTCCTCCTGACTTCAGGCCAGTGCTCCATTCACTGCACCACCTAGCTGCCCCTTTCATTAGCTTTAAGACCTCAAGGAGCTGCCTCTTTCCATAGCTCAGTGAGAACCCCTGGGGTTCAAATGGAGCAACTCTGCTCTGTCTCCTTTCTCCTCTGTTCTGGCTCCAGACTCATTGATGGCTCATAGGGTCTCTTCCCCCAGCCCCCATCCAATTCTCCTCCTTCTCTCCCAAGTTTCTGATAAAATGGACTGGCCACACCCCTCTGGAGGCTGGCTCCTAGGGGTATTTCTTTGCCTATCTCCCTCTCTCCCTTTATTCCTTTGTCCTCACACCAGGGAGTCAGAGAAGGGAGAAAGACAGGTGTCCAGTGTCCCCAGACAGATGATGCCCAAGTTGGCCCGGGGTCTTACCCAGGTTCTGTCATCCAGCCTGGTCAGGTGCTTGTCTACCATGGTCTGGTTACTCCCCACCAAGGTGCAGCCATGGAGGATGTTTGGTACCACTCGGCTACTCCAAGATGAGATTCAAGATTCTGGGTAAGTAGGGCCTCTCTCCCCTGGACACATTGTGGGGGGAAGGGAAGAGAACTGGGTAACCTTGGCCCAGTCACTTCACCTCTCTGGGCCTCAGTTTCTCCATCTGTAAAATGAGAGGTTAGCTTAGGTGATCTCTAAGGTGCCTTCCAGCTCTGGCATTCTGTAGTTACCCCATCGATGGCCTCAGTTTCCCCATCTGTAAAATGAAAACGGTGGCCTAGATGATCTCTGAGATCCCTTCCCACTCTGAACACTGTATTTCTGTGATCTATAACTCTTACTTTTTATGAGTGGCCTTGCTTGGAGGAGGGAGAGCTGAAGCACCCATCCAAGGCCTCCTGGGCCCAAGTTTGAATAGCCTCAAGGTCCCTTCTGCTCCCACCTCTTATCTCATCCCTAACCCCTTCATTGTACCTCCTTGTACTGTGAAATGGCCATCAGCACCCAGAAAATGTTACATGGCCTCACCTTAGAAAGTCCTGAGTCCTTAGACCCTTTGACCTGTGGCATGACCCCTTAAAAACAGACTGGATGATTGGCATCTCAGCTCATACCACTTCCTTCTCTCATTTCTAAAGTAATTCTTTGTGAAGAAAGTAAACAAAACCAATTTTGTTAGCTCAGCTTGGGAAATGAGGCTCGGGGACAGCTAGGTGGCACAGTGGATGGAGCACCGGCCTTAGATTCAGGAGGACCCAAGTTCAAATCTGGCCTCAGACACATAAAAAGCCTAAAATACTTACTAGCTGTGTGACCCTGGGCAAGTCACTTAACTCCATTGCCTAGTCAATAAAAAAAAAAAGAAAGAAAGAAATGAGGCTCAGAGGGGCAAATGACCTCCCAGGGCCATACAGCTAGGAAAAGGAAGAATTGGCACTTAAATCTGGTTTTATCTGGATGTTAATTCTCTTCCCTTAAGCTCTGAGCTCCTGGATCCTCTGCTCTCTCTCATCCCTAATATGGACACGATGGTGGTGTCCAGTCACTTCCCACCTCGCTCCACTAATGGACAGCATCTCAGCCCCTCCCCCAAGGCTCTGCTAGTATCCACGGCGGGGCTGCTGCAGACAACTCTCCATTGACAGGTCCTTCTGGCTAGCCGGTGCCATCCCCTTCAAGGCATCTCATTCCCATAAAGCCTTCCCCCTAGCTGACAACACGCCCAGGATCTTGGGAAGTAGTTGGATGCTATTGAGAGTAACTTGGTTGGGCTTGGGTTCATAATCTGATTTTGCTACTTACTAGTTACTAAGTATCACCTTAGGCAAGTCACCTGGATGAGAAGTAGTAGAAACTTTAGAAAACAGAGAATGTCAGAGCAAGGAGAGATCTTAGAACAGAGAACGTCTGAGCTGGAAAGGACCCCAGAACAGAGGATGTCAGAGCAAGGAGAGATCTTAGAACAGAGAACGTCTGAGCTGGAAAGGACCCCAGAACAGAGGATGTCAGAGCAGGGAGGGATCTTAGAACAGAGAACGTCTGAGCTGGAAAGGACCCCAGAACAGAGGATGTCAGAGCAGGGAGGGATCTTAGAACAGAGAACGTCTGAGCTGGAAAGGACCCCAGAACAGAGAATGTCAGAGCAAGGAGAGATCTTAGAACAGAGAACGTCTGAGCTGGAAAGGACCCCAGAACAGAGGATGTCAGAGCAGGGAGGGATCTTAGAACAGAGAACGTCTGAGCTGGAAAGGACCCCAGAACAGAGGATGTCAGAGCAGGGAGGGATCTTAGAACAGAGAACGTCTGAGCTGGAAAGGACCCCAGAACAGAGGATGTCAGAGCAGGGAGGGATCTTAGAACAGAGAACGTCTGAGCTGGAAAGGACCCCAGAACAGAGGATGTCAGAGCAGGGAGGGATCTTAGAACAGAGAACGTCTGAGCTGGAAAGGACCCCAGAACAGAGGATGTCAGAGCAAGGAGAGATCTTAGAACAGAGAACGTCTGAGCTGGAAAGGACCCCAGAACAGAGGATGTCAGAGCAAGGAGAGATCTTAGAACAGAGAACGTCTGAGCTGGAAAGGACCCAGAACAGAGGATGTCAGAGCAGGGAGGGATCTTAGAACAGAGAACGTCTGAGCTGGAAAGGACCCCAGAACAGAGGATGTCAGAGCAAGGAGAGATCTTAGAACAGAGAACGTCTGAGCTGGAAAGGACCCCAGAACAGAGGATGTCAGAGCAGGGAGAGATCTTAGAACAGAGAACGTCTGAGCTGGAAAGGACCCCAGAACAGAGGATGTCAGAGCAAGGAGAGATCTTAGAACAGAGAACGTCTGAGCTGGAAAGGACCACAGAACAGAGGATGTCAGAGCAAGGAGAGATCTTAGAACAGAGAACGTCTGAGCTGGAAAGGACCCCAGAACAGAGGATGTCAGAGCAAGGAGAGATCTTAGAACAGAGAACGTCTGAGCTGGAAAGGACCAGAACAGAGGATGTCAGAACAGGAGGGATCTTAGAACAGAGAACGTCTGAGCTGGAAAGGACCCAGAACAGAGGATGTCAGAGCAGGGAGGGATCTTAGAACAGAGAACGTCTGAGCTGGAAAGGACCCCAGAACAGAGGATGTCAGAGCAGGGAGGGATCTTAGAACAGAGAACGTCTGAGCTGGAAAGGACCCCAGAACAGAGGATGTCAGAGCAGGGAGGGATCTTAGAACAGAGAACGTCTGAGCTGGAAAGGACCCCAGAACAGAGAATGTCAGAGCAGGGAGAGATCTTAGAACAGAGAATGTCTGAGCTGGAAAGGACCCCAGAACCCAGGATGTCAGAACAGGGAGGGATCTTAGAACAGAGAACGTCTGAGCTGGAAAGGACCACAGAACAGAGAATGTCCAGGCAGGTCCAGAAGTTAAGCACACAGAGGAGCAGGTCCTGGCGAGGCGGGGGTGAGGGGGAGTCTCAGATGTCCCCACTGGGCTGTATGAGTGGGATCTGGGCAGATATGTGTATGCCACGATAAGGAGGTGGATAGTTCCAGGCTGACCATACCTATGTTCTCAGTCCCCAGGAGCAATTGACAGTGAATCTCATAAACCACCTGGGGAAGAAGATTACAGTTCCTGTGAGGGAGGGTGAAAACATGCTCCAGTTGGTGCTAAAGCACAATTTGAACTTCCTGGGCTTCGGTAGGTAACCAGGGCCCTGGGATCAGTGTCCACTCACCCACCCTCAGGCCTTCCCTCATCCCCTTTCCCCAAAACAAACAACCCAAGGGCAGCTAGACTATAGTCCTTGAGTTTGGGGTGGAGGGAATGGGGATGGGGAGGAGGGAACCTAGGGGTCTTCATGGCCTGCTATCTCTATATAATTGAACAATGGGATACAGCAACCCCCAAGACCCAGAATGCAGGAGGAGATGGCCTCCATATCCTGCCCAATTCAGATCACATCTGGAGAGCCTGATGGACATGTCCCCATCTGTAAAACAAAGGTCTTGGATTTCCATGATCTCTGTTATCTTCCAACTCAAAATTTAGGATTCCATGACATTACTCTATTCAATTCTGGTGCTACAATCTAGTCAAGACATTGACACCTTGTGGCTTATTCTGAGGTAGAGGATGGCACAGGACTTTGGTTTAATCCATATGAGGGAACTGGGAATGTTTAGTTTGGAGAAGAGAAACCTGGGGGGTGAAGGGGGGGGGGAGACATGATAGTTGTCTTTAAGTATTTGAAGAGATGTCATAGGGAAGAGTGACTTGACTTCTGCCTAACTCCAGAAGGTTCACCTAGCCTTCACCTCAACCTGGACCTAGCACCAATGGGTAGAAGGCCAATGTAGGCACAAGGTCAAAGTAAAATGTATAGCCTCGTGAGCTAGCAATGTCCCTATTGGTGGCTCTCTTTAGGACGATCACTTATCAACCATGTTACAAAGGGGATGTTACAATGTTCACGTATGTTGGATTTGAGAGCCTCTGAGATCTCTTATAACTCAGAGATTTTGTGTTCCTCTGACTCTAGAACTAAAAGAACTGAGAGGAGCCCGGCCAGAGGCTGGCTCTACTACCTTATTCTATTCTGTTTTATACAGTTGTTTTCTGGGTGCACAGAGAGTGATGGCAGTGTAGCAAGCACAATGGATAGAGAGCTGGTCTTGGAGCTAGGAAAACCGAGTTCAAATCCTAGTTCTAACACATACTGGCTGTGTGATTCTGGGCAGTGCCCCAAGCAACTCCAAGACTGTAAGTTGCAGAAAAGGTGCCAACTTGCAATGGTAGTGGCCAAAGCACTGGGCTCAGAATCAGGGGACTTCGGCTCAAATACCACCTCTTCCACTTAGCAGTTATGTGACCTTGGGCAAGTCACCGCCATTCTCAGCCTCAGTTTCCCAGTTTCTAAAATGAAGGTGATAGTATTACCTGCACTAACTGACTTTCAGGATTGTTGTGAGGAGTGATTTGTAAATCTTAAAACTTCTAAAGAAATGGGAATTCTCATTATTATTACCATGCTCTTGGCTGGCATCTTTTCCTCTGTTATCCAGGCACAGGGACAGGAAAGCATGTGGCATATTCAGAGTGTAGAGAGGATTCCAGTTTGGACACGGCATAAATTCATGGAAGAGAAAAATAGGAGATGACAGTGGAAAGCAGAGCAACCTTTGGAGAGAATCTTCAGTGCCAGGCAAAGGAATTCAGATTTAGTGGGCAATAGAACGCTGTTAAGGTCTTTAAGGTAAAGATCATAAGGGACTTCAGGGGACAGCTAGTTTAAACATCTCATTTTATAGATTTTTTCCCCTCTAACCTGGAAGCTATAGATTTGGGCTATGATGTCTTGGAAGTTTTTATTTTGGGATTTCTTTCAGGAGGTGACTTATGGAGTTTTCCTTCTGATTCTAAGAGATCTGAGCAGTTTTCATTCATGATAAATTAACATATGCTATCTAGGCTTGGTGGTTGTTGTTTTCATCATGGCTTTCAGGTAGTCCAGTGATTCTTACATTGTATCTCCTGGATCTGTCTTCCAGGCCAATTGTTTCTGAAATGAGATACCTTATGCTTTCTTCTACTTTTCAGTCTTTTGACTTTTTTTTTTTCCACTGTTTCTTTGTGTCTCATGGAGCCATTGCCTTCTATTTGGCCCATTCTAACTTTTTGGGAATCTGTTACTTTTGTGTATCTAATTATTTTTTCTCTCAATTCTTTCATCTAGAGATGTCATTTTCTTTATAATATCATTTAAATTACTTTTTCAAAAAATTATTGCTTCATTTCTTTCAAGAAATCTAGCTGACCTTGTGGCCAAGCATTTTCTTTGAGGCTTTGCTTATAAATGTTTTGGAGTCATTCTCTTCTGGGTTTGTGTCTTTGGCATCCCTAAGCCAACAGTAGCTCTTTATCATTAGTGTCTTTTTTATTTACTTATTCTCTCAGCCTTACTTCTTAAATTGAGGCTTTGTGTTAGAGCCAACTTCTTTGAACTTCTGGGACAGGAGATGTTGGAACCTTGTATAGTCCTAATCTCTATTGATTGGATCCTGCCAATGCTTCCTTTGAGTACTGAATGCTTCAAGTATCTCAGGCTCTGAGCTGTAAACGTTCATTAGGCTCTAAGAGGTCTGATCTAGGGCATGGTCTGATTGCTGCCCTTCTGGTCTGAGCTTTGGAGGCTCCAGACCCTGATTTAAGTCTAGGCGACACAACTGAAGACTTGCCCCTGGTTGTAGCTCAGTAGACAGTTGTTGGCTCTAGCCCCTATAAGCTAGCTGTAAGACTCTGGTGTTTAGTGATAGAACTGTAGGTCCACCTAGGTTCTTAAGTTCTTGCTCTGATTACTCACCTGTGATCCGGCTCCAGGATCACTCAGGATGTGAAGAGTCAGTGATCCCTTGATTGGAGAACAATAGTATGAATGAGGGGGAGGGAGAAAGCAAATGGCAGTTGTGGGTAGAGGGAGGGAATCATGTGGTAAATGAGGAGCCCATGGGATGTGCCTGAGGAAGGGTTGGAGTTCTGGAAGCCCAAGTGGGTGGGTGGTTGGGTCAAAGAACTCTGACTGGTGCCTTGAGATTTGAGGTGGACAGTTTGGAGGCAATGAAGGAAAATGAGGCCCAGATAATGTCTATCTGAATGGCACATTTCTGAGTTGTCTGTAGTGTCCTTGGAGGAAAAGAACATGTTCAGAGGATGGAAGCAGGCCCCAGGTTTTGGGCCTGGGTGACTTCAGGGCAATAATCTGACTGCCAGGGAGAAGGTGAGTACAAGCAGCCCCATGAACCTTCTCACCCTAGGGATCTGTGAAGGGACTCTGACCTGTTCTACCTGCCACCTCATCCTAGAGAAGGAAGTCTTCCAGAAGCTAGGCCCCATCTCTGAGGAGGAGCTGGACATTCTGGACCTGACCTGTGGTGTCACAGCCACGTAGGTATTTTATCTCAACCAAGGTGGAAGTGGGTAGAGCTGGGAGGGAAAGCCTGCATCCACAGACTCTCTTGGTCTTCTGCGGCATGAAGGTTGGGTTGAGGACACAAGCCATTGGTCCCTGGCCTGCATTTCCCTCTCTATACAAATGATTGTCTCATCTTCATATCCAGCCCTCATCTCTCTCCTGAGCACAAGTCCTGCATCTTTGTGAAACCAAAGGACTTGGGTTCAAATCCAGCTCCTGATACTTGCTACCTTAGTGACCTTGGGTAAGTCAGCTAACCTCCTTGGACCTCAGTGTGCTCATCTGTAAAATGAGAGAGTTGGAGTCAATCACCTCTGAGGTCCTTTATCTATGCTCCATTATCTATCCTCCATTATTTACGGTCCCATTATTTCTCCCCAGATGGCCCAGAGGCATCTCAAACTAAAGCTGTGCAAACAGCTCATTCTATTCTCCCCAAACCCACATCTTTTCCATATTTTTGTTGAGGGTGCCCCCACCCTTCCAAGCACCCAGGTCTGCAACCTTGGGATCCCACTCTTCCCTCTCCCTCACTGCCCATATCCCATGAGTTGCTAAGTGTTGTTGATTCTACCTGTAAAATAGATTTTATATCCATGTGCTCTATATTCACACAACCACCATCCTAAAGCTCTTGTCATCTTTCTTCTGTCCTACTGTGGTAGACTCCTAACTGATCTCTTTAGCTCCAATTTCTTCCTTTACAACCCATTCTCTACTGAGCTGCAATATTGATATTCTTCATGTCACTACCTTATTCAAGAAACTTCGGTGGCTCACCATTGCCAAGCTCTTCCCACCTGGTTCCAGTCTTATCCCTCTAGGCTGATTACCCATAACTCCCCTTCACATACTCAATGCTCATTGTTTTTCCATATGTGGTATTCTATTTCCTGTGCCTGGAATACCCTCTCCTCACCTCTGCCTCTTGAAAGGCTTCGAGCCCTCCAAGGTTTAGCTAAGAACCACCTCTTTGAGGGGCCTGTCCTGGTTCTCCCAGTTGCTAGTGACCCCTCCCTACCATCACTCTGTGTGTGTATATATAACTTTACTTTTAAAATTTGTGGACATATTTTTCCCCTAGTATAGGGGTGGGGAACCTATGACCTCAAGGCCACATGTGGCCCTCTAGGTCCTCAAGTGCAGCCTTTTGAATGAATCCAAACTTCACAGCAGATTTGTTCTGTGGCAGGACCCTTAGAATATGGAACATCAGAAGATTTGTTCTTGAAGTTTGGACTCAGTCAAAGGGCCACACTTGAGGACCTAGAGGGCCACATGTGGCCTCGAGGCCACAGGTTCCCCTGGCCTAGTAGAATGTAAATTACTCAAGGACAGAGACAGCCACACCCATTGTTTGGTACAGGGTATGGCACAGAGAAGCTGCTTAAAAATAAGGATTGTTTATTGATCCAGCTCTTCTAGGATCAAAAGGGAGTGAAAGGAATAGAGGGCAAAGGTGGCTCTTGTTAGGGACAGCCACGCTGTGGGGATGCCACTAGGCCTGCCCAGGGCTACTTGGTCTCTCCTATCTACTCCCCAAATTCTTTAAGGGGAAGAAAACTTAGGGAGTCAAGTGATTTTATCAGTTTGGGGAAGTCTCACAGGAGGAAATACTTTCTAATAATGTAAGTCAGCAACTTCTTTGGAACTTGTGCTCATAGAGATTTGACCAGAACACTGAGAGATTAAGTCATTTCTCCAGGGTCACTCAGCCATCAAGTCAGAGACTGGAAGAGCAAACTTCTGCTTTTGAGGTTGGATCTCTAAGCACTGTGTTATAGTATCTCCCTGCAGCATAATGGAGAAAGGGACCTTAGAACCAGGAATGTCAGAGCTGGGAGGGGCCTTAGAACAGAGAATGTCAGGGATGGGAGGGGCCTTACAACACAGAATGCCAGAGCTGGGAAGTCTTAGAAGACGGAATGTCAGAGCTGGGAGGGCACTTGAAATAGAGAAGGTCAGAGCTAGGAACCATCTAAGAACATAGAATGTGAAATCCAGGAGGGGCCATAGAATAGAGAAGGGCACTTAAAACAGAGAAGGTCAGAGCTGGGAAGGATCTAAGAACATAGAAGGTGAGAGCCAGGAAGGGCCTTAGAACAGAGAATGTCAGAGCTGGAAGGGAATGTTAGAACACAGAATGTCAGAGCTGAGAGGGGCATTAGAACACAGAATATCAGAGCTAGGAAGCCTTAGAGAGAATGTCACAGTTGGGAGGGGCCTTAGAACAGAGAATGTCAGAGTTGAAAGAAGACAAAATATAAAATGTCTTAGAGATGAGAGAAGTCTTAGAACACAGAATGGCAGAGCTAGGAGGGCTCTTAAAACAGAGAAGGTCAGAGCTAGGAAGGCTCTAAGAACATAGAATGTGAGAACAAGAAGGGCCTTAGAACACAGAATGTCAGAGCTGAGAGGGGCCTTAGAGCACAGAATGTCAGAGCTAGGAAGTCTTAGAAAAGAGAACGTCACGGCTGGGAGGGACATTAGAACACTGAATGTCAGATCTGGGAGGGGCCTTAGAACACACAATGTCAGAGCTGGGAGGGGCCTTAGTACACAGAATGTCAGAGCTAGCAAGGATCTAATAACATAGAATGTGAGAGCCAAGAGGGACCTTAGAACAGTGAATGTCACTGCTGGAATGGAATGTTAGAACACAGAATGTCAGAGCTGAGAGGGGCATTAGAACACAGAATGTCAGAGCTGGGAAATCTTAAAGAGAATGTCAGAGCTGGGAGGGGCCTTAGAACAGAGAATATCAGAGTTGAAAGAAGACAAAATATAAAATGTCTTAAAGATGAGAGAAGTCTTAGAACACAGAATGGCAGAGCTAGGAGGGCTCTTAAAACAGAGAAGGTCAGAGCTAGGAAGGATCTAAGAGTATAGAATGTGAGAACCAAGAGGGGCCTTAGAACAGAGAATGTCACACCTGGAAGGGAACGTTAGAACACAGAATGTCAGAGCTTAGAGGGGCCTTAGAACACAGAATGTCAGAGCTAGGAAGTGTTAGAATAGAGAATGTCAGAGCTGGGGGGGACCTGTGAACAGAGAATGTCATAGCTGGGAGGGACCTTAGAACACAGATTGTCAGAGCTGGGAGGGCACTTAAAACTGAGAACGGCAGAGCTGGGAAGTATCTAAGAACATAGAATGTGAGAGCCAGGAAGGGCCTTATAACAAAGAATATCAGAGTTGAAAGAATATAGAATGTCTAAGGGCTGGGAGGTCCTTTAGGACAGAGAATGTCAGAGCTGGAAGGGGCCTTAGAACACAGAATGTCAGAGCTGTGAAGTCTTAGAACAGGGAATGTCAGAGCTGGGAGGGCTCTTAAAACAGAGAAGGTCAGAGCTGGGAAGGATCTAAGAACATAGAATGTGAGAGCCAAAAGGGGCCTTAGAACAGAGAATGTCAGAGCTGGGAAGTCTTAGAAGAGAGAATGTCAGAGCTGGGAAGGGTGCCTAAAACAGAATGTCAGAGCTGTGAGGGACCTTAGAACACAGAATGTTAGAGCTGGGAGGGCCCTTAGAAAACAGAATGTCAGAGCTGGGAAGTCTTAGATGATAGATTGTCAGAGCTGGGAGGGCACTTAAAACAGAAGGGCAGAGCTGGGAGGGATCCAAGATCATAGAATGTGAGATCCATGAGGGGCCTTAGAACAGAGAATATCAGAGTTGGAAGAATATAGAATATAGAATGTCTAAGGGCTGGGAGGTCCCTTACAATAGAGAATGTCAGAGCTGGGAGGGTGCTTAAATACAGAGAATGTCAGAGCTGGGAGGGTGCTTAAAACAGAGAAGGTCAGAGCTGGGAGGAAACTTAGAACATAGATTGTCAGAGCTGGGAGGAAACCTTAGAACACACAATGTCATAGCTGGGAAGTCTTAGAATATAGAATGTGAGAACTGGGAGGGCGCTTAAAACAGAGAAGGGCAGAGCTGGGAAGGATTTAAGAACCTAGAAGGTGAGAGCCAGGAGGGGCCTTAGAACAGAGATATCAGAGTTGAAAGAATACAGAATATAGAATGTTTTAGAGATGAGAGGAGTCTTAGAACACAGAATGGCAGAGCTGGGAGGGCCTTTAGAATAGAGAATGTTAGGGCTGGGAGGAACCTTAGAACACAGAATATCAGAGTTGGGAGGTGCCTTAGAACAGAAAATGTCAGAGCTGGGAGGGGACTTAGAACACAGAATGTCATAGCTGGGAAGTCTTAGAAGAGAGAATGTCAGAACTTGGAGGGTGCTTAAATACAGAGAATGTCAGAGCTGAGAGGGACCCTAGAACACAGAATGTCATAGCTGCGAAGTGTTAGAGAAAATGTCAGAGCTGGGAGGGCCCTTGAAACAGGGAAGGTCAGAGCTGGGAAGGATCTAAGAACATAGAAGGTAAGATCCAGGATGGGACTTAGAGCAGAGAATATCAGAATTGAAAGAATATAGAATGTCTAAGGGCTGGGAGGCCCTTGGAATAGAGAATGTCAGGACTGGGAGGTGCCTTAGAACAGAGAATATTAGAGCTGGAATGGAAACTTAGAAGACAGTATGTCATAGCTGGGAAGTCTTAGAAGAGAAAATGTCAGAGCTGGGAGGGACCTTAGAACACAGAATGTCATAGCTGGGAAGTCTTAGAAGAGAGAATGTCAGAACTGGGAAAATTATAGAATGTCTTAGAGATGAGAGGAGTCTTAGAACACAGAATGGCAGAACTGGAAGGGCCCTCATAGCATGTAATGTGAGAACAAGGAGGGATCTTGGAACAAAGAATGAATGTCCCAGCCATGAAACATCTTAGAAGACAGAATTTTCAAGCTGGGAGGGATCTTAGAACACAGAATTTCTAGGCTGGCAGGACACTTAGAACATCAGAGTTTAGAGGGACCTTAGAGCTTGATCATTTCAACCTGCTCACCTTACAGGTGAAGAAATTGAAGCCCCAAGACTTAGCTAAAGTCACACAGGGAGCCAGGGCCAGAACTGGGACTCATTCTCTCACTTCCCAGCCAGGTCTCTTGCCACTACATTCTGCCATTTTCTTTTCCTAGGTCTCGTCTGGCCTGCCAGCTGTGTATGACCAAAGCTATGGACAAACAGACCCTCTGGGTCCCCATGGAGACTGACACCTCTGGATCCAAGTAGCAGGAGCAGCTCTGGAATCCAGGCAGGGGCAGGGGCAGGGGAAGGCTGGGGGGAGAAGGGATGGTGCCCACCAATGCTGATCTCTTCTCCTTCCACTTCCCACAGTGAGAAACCCATTTCTCACCCTGAACTGGGTGCCTATTCTGGCACAGTGGACAAGGTAAATACTAGGCCACAGTGAAGTGGCAAGAAGGAGAAAAATGTGTCTCTCCTTGTGACCTCTGCCATGGGAAGAGTTTTAAAATATTAATAAATAATTGTTATCCTTAGAATTTGTTTTGTATGCTTTCCCAAAACATTGAGACTCACAAAAAGCCAAGTGTTTTTATTTCCATTTTACAGATGAAGAAACTGAGGCCCAGAGAAAGGAACTGACTCAACTGAGGTCACAATTAGGGAGTAGCAGACTGATAACCAGATGATTTCTACTACATCATATTTGTTTCAAGCTCTATTGGGGGAAATTGGCAGAGGCAGATTTCACCTTGAGTGAAGGAAAAGTGTCCAGCTGAGCTACCCCCAAGTGAAATGGGTTGCCTTGGGAGGTAGTGAGTTCCCTGTTATTGGAGGTCTTCAAGTGGTGATGTTGTAAAGGGACTTCCTGTGAGGTTCCTTCCAACAGTGAAATCGTGGGATACCTTGCAGAAAGTGTGATGCTGAATCCTGTGGGCTGGCCTAGAAACAGAGAGGGAGATCTGGACATGGCGTTCTCCCCAAAGTTTGCTGAACAGTACAGTTGGTGAAAGAGGATAATGAGAAGGGTAGAGCTACAATAAAATGTTGGAGGTCTCTACTCCCCTGAATTTTTGAGTGAGAGAGCACAGACCAAAAATCTGGGGAGCTTCTAGGCAGAGCTCATATAATCCCTCGATTCTTAGAGGAACCTCAAAATTCTAGCTGTCTCAAAGTAGATTGGACTACCTTAAGGAGGAGGGGGTTCCCCATCACTCAAAGTCTTGGAGCAGAAATTGGACGACTTCTTATGGGGCCTATTATTGTCACAAACCTCTCCCATCTGGGACCCCTCCCCAATGCCAACTTACAGAAGGTAACTGATTCCTTCTTCCTTTAAGGGTAACCCTGAGGGGCTGGGCTTTGTAGGACTGGCGCTCTTACCAGCATATTCCCTATTCTCAATCAACCAGTTGCATTAGCTTTTACAAAAGTAGTTTCCTGAAAAGCTATAGAAAGCAAGGGAGTTATATAAAAAAAAACTGCATTATAAATGCAGTTATGGGGTTATAAAAAAAGCCCAATACCCACAATCACACTTTTGGCTTGTACACACAAGGTCCTTGGGAAGAATGGGCTCAAGCTTAAGGTACAATGGTAATGAGGGACTTGTATGAGGAATACAGATGACTTAGGCATACTTTCCAAGTCCCAGCCTTAGAAGCCCTTCTCTCCCTTTATGGAGTCCTTATGAAGTTTCTCTTAGGTAGAGTTCTCTGCCAAAGCCCATCAATTTTCTTGTTTAACATTCACCCTTTTTTCTCCTCTGATACTGGCACCCCCCACCCCCAGCGCAGGCCCTCATCACCTCACATCTGGACTATTGCAATAGCTGTGGATGGGTCTGCCGCAAATGTTTTTCCTACAGTATGGGTCCTTGTCACCTCTCAATAAACTCCAGGATCAAATAGAAAAGTCCTTTATAACCTGCCCTTGCTACCTTTCCAGTCTTTTTACACCTCCCTCCCCGCCATGTATACTTCAGTCCAATGACACTGTTCTCCTTGCTGTTTCTCAAGCAAGACACTCCATCTTGTGATTCTTTGTGTTTTCAGTGGCTGACCCCTATGGCTTACAGAACACTCTCCTTTCTCATCTCTGCCTCCTAGCTTACCTGGTTTATTTCAAGATTTCATTGAAAATCCCAGCCTTGCCAAGTCCCTCTTAATGACAGTGCTTTTTCTCTGAGATCGCCTGTAATTTGCCCCATATAGATCTTGTATGTACAAATCAACAAGAATTTATTAAGTGCCTACTTAATGCCAGGCATGGTGCCAAGCACCAGGAATACAAAGAAAGTAAAAAATCAGTCCCTAAGGGGCAGCTAGGTGGAGCAGTGGATAGAGCTTTGGCCTTGGAGTCAGGAGGCCCTGAGTTCAAATGCAGCCTCAGACACATAACACTTACTAGCTGTGTGACCCTGGGCAAGTCACTTAACCTCACCAAAAAGCAAACCCCCCCAAAAAAAACAAAACACACAGACATACACAAAAAACAAAACAAAACAAAACCCACTCCCTGACCTCAAGGAGCTCACAATCTAATAGGGGAGACAACATTCAAACAAAACAGTATACAAACAAGATATACTCAGAATAAATTAGAGATACAGTTATCCCTTCCACATTGTGACTTTCCTCGTTGACATTTTTGACATATCACTGACCAGCATAAGAAATTAAATGGGAATTTTTGAGGAGTTCTGCAGAAGCCACAGAACTCATACTCAAATACAGAAAAAGTTTAGAAACTCAGAAATACATAAAATATATGTATATTACTGTAAACACCCCCCATAAAAGAAAAAGAAAAAAAATCAGACTTCTTCTCTGGTATGAAGGGAAGGCCAAAACATTTTATGCAGCTTTTCCAGATTGTGGGGGTGCTGTGCCTCTGACCCCCTCCCCATGCTGTGGAAGGGATAACTGTAATCTCAAGGGCAAGGCACCAGCCTTCAGGGAGACTGACAAAAGGTCTCTTGCAGAAAATGGGATTTTAGATGAGACTTGAAGGGAACCAGAAAAGCCAGGAGTCAGAGGTGAGCAGAGAGGACATTCCAGTCCTGGGAGAGAGCTAATGCAAATCAACAGAATCCAAACTCATTGTCTTTTCTCCCAAACCCCCTCCTCCTCCTAACTTCTCTATTACTCTAGCCCAGGGGTGGGGAACCTGCAGCCTTGAGGCCACATGTGGCCCTCTAGGTCCTTAAGTGTGGCCCTTCAACTGAATCCAATCTTCACAGTTTGGTATTATCCCCTTAATAAAAGGATTTGTTCTGTAAGACTTGGACTCAGTCAAAAGACAGCACTTGAGGATCTAGAGGGCCACATGTGGCCTCGAGGCTTTAGGTTCTCCACCCCTGTTCTAGAGGGCACCATCATTCCATCTTCCCAGGCTCCCAGGCTCCCAACCCAAGTGTCATAGTCAACTCCTCAGTCTTCCTAAGCCCCTATATCCATTCAATTGTCAAGACTTGTCAATTTTATGTTTTTTTTTCTTCCCAGTATCTTTCATCTATCGCCCCTTCTCTCCTCTGATATTGCCACCACCACCACCACTTGAAGCCCTCATCACCTCATGGTCAGACTATTGAAATAGCCCACTAATAGTCGGTCTTCCTGCGTCAGATCTCTCATCATTGCAGTCCACCGCAGAGCCAAAGTGATCTTCCTAAACGTTCAGTTCTTACCGGTCACCACCCCTTACTCAATAACACCCAATGGCTCCCTATCACTTCCAGGATCAAATATAAAATCCTTTGTTTGGCTTTTAAAGCCCTTCCTAACCTGGCCCTTGAGTTTAAGGCCATCTACAGGGCATCCAGTTGGAGATGCCCAATAGGCATAGATGTAACTGAATACATGGGAGATGTTGACATCATCAAGTGAAATAGTATATAAATGATAGAAGAAGAGGGCCCTGGATAGGGCCCCGTGAGACACACATGATTAACAAGTAGAAGCTGCAGATACATACTTGTTGGCATGTTTTCTCCATCATTAGACTGTGAACTCTTTGAGGACAGGGACTATTTTAAACTAGCTTCATATTGTCAATGCTTATTATAGTGTCTGGCACACATTCAGTCATGTCTGATTCTTCATGACCCCATTTGGGGTTTTCTTGGCAAAGATCCTGGAGTGGTTTGCCATTTCCTTCTTCAGCTCACTTTATAGATGAGGAAACTGAGGCAAACAGGGTTAAGTGACTTGCTCAGGGTCATATAGCTATTAAGTGTCTGAGGCCAGATTTGAACTCATGAGCATGAATCTTCCTGACTCCAGCCTGGCAATCTATCCACTGCAGCACCGCCTAGCTGCCCCGCTTGGCACATAGTAAACACTTAAATGCTTATTAGCTCACTGATGACTGACAGCAACAGATTGTCTATTCGACTCAGAAGTTGTGAGCCTGGAAAGATGTTGGTGTCCTTAATAGTCAAAGGCAAGAATGGGATTTCTCACTCTGCTATTTCATCTTGGATTTTGTTATAATTATGTAAAAATGCAATTGATTTTTGAGGGTTTATTTTATAGCCTACAACTTTGCCAAAGCTATTAATTGTCTCAATTAGGATCTTGGCTGATTCCCCAAAATTTTGCAAGTAAACCATTATCAGCAAATAGGGATCATTTTATCTCCTCTCCTCCATCTTTACGCCTTTCTCTTATCTTATTGCTATAGCTAGCATTTCCAGAACTATGCCAAATGATAGTGGATAGAGTGGGCACCCTTGCTTTACTCCTAGATTTATTGTAAAAGGTTCTAGTATATCCCCCTTATGATTCTTGCTTTTGGTTTTAGATAAATCATTTTTATGATATTAAAAATAACCCTCTATGCCTATACTTTGCAGAGTTTTTTTTTTGTTTAGTTTTTTAAGCATAAACGAGGGTCACTTTTTGTCAAAAAACTTTGTGTCTATTGAGATAATAGATGTGGTTTGGATTCTTTTGGTTTTTAATATGACTAATTATGTTGATTAGTTTCCTAATATTGAACCATAATGAATGATTTCTTGGATAAATTACTATAGTCTGTCTGACAGGATTTTATTTTAAGAAAATTTTATCAATATTCATTAATTATATTGGTCTATTATTATCCTGTGTTTTATCCTTCTCTTGTTTAGGTATTAGGACTATATTTGTCTTATAAGAGGATTCTAGTAGAGTGGTTTCTTTCTCAGGTTATGCAAATAATTTGTATATTATGTGTGCTTAATTGTTCCTTAAAAGTTTGATAGAATTCTCTTGTGAATCCACTGGGACCAGGTCCCCCCTTTGGTATTTTCCGAACAGCTATTTCCTTTTCTGAGGTTTGGTCACTTAAGATCTATATAGTTTGGATATTTTTAAAGGTATTCCTCTATTTCTTTTGTGTTCTTAGTTTTGTGTGCATACTAGCTTGTGACTATTCTTATTATCTCTACTGGTTTTGTTGTGATTTCGTTTTGCTCATTTGCTATTTCATTGATTTGATTTTCTGCTCTTTTCTTTTTTAATCAGATTGGTTA